TGCTGCGATCTCAGAAGAAAGGAAATTCAAGCAAACTCGTTATGATAAAATTCAATTTACATTTTATCATTTTTATTGAAACTTATTATTATTATTGATTTTCATCGGGAAAACATTTCAAAGTGTCGTTTCAATTCTATTTATTTATTGAAGTGCTTGTGGATACAATATATATATATACATATATAAAGAAAAATATAAAATAAAAATTATTCTTATAAATAACAAAATATGTATATAAATATATGCATAGGATAATTAAATATTAAAATGTTATATAATAATACATTATATGAAATTCAATAAAATGCAAGAATATGCAAAAATACTAAAATAAAGGCATTAAATTAAGAGCTCTCTAATTGTTTGATTAAGTATTTCCAGGTCGAAGGCAACCCTTCTGAATCTCTAGAATTAATGCATGCATTATGCAACCTGCTCTTATATATTTCAATTTTTTCAGCGCAAAGCGCCAATGTCAGTGAATATACTATCAGCAAGGAATCTAACACCACAATACTATCGCAATTGGCGCAAGTTGAGGGCTCAGTCGTCAAATGAGATGAAGCAAGTATTATTAAACTAGTACATTCACCAACATTGGCAATTTGTGCCGAAAAAATTGAAATATATAAGAGCAGGTTGCATAATGCATGCATTAATTCTAGAGATTTGGAAGGGTTGCCTTCAACCTGGAAATACTTAATCAAACGATTAGAGAGCTCTTAATTTAATGCCTTTATTTTAGTATTTTTGCATATTCTTTCATTTTACTGAATTTCATATAATGTATTATTATATAACGTTTTAATATTTAATTATCCTATGCATATATTTATATATATTTTGTTATTTATAAGAATAATTTTTATTTTAGTTTTCTTTATATATGTATGTATGTATATGTATATATTAGTGTTGTAACGAATATTCGGTTACTATTCGGTATTCGGCCTATTTTTCACTATTCGGCCGAATACCGAATACCTAAAAAACAGGAGTAATAAATAACAAAAATACAGTAAATTGATCGTTTTCGTATTTAGATTTAATGTTATCGAGTTAGTGTTGTTTGTTTATATTTATTTATAACTTGTAACATGCACAAAATAAAAAAGAAAATAATATTAGTCACATGTATTCACAATTTATAATTACAAAGATCAGCACACGTACACGTCTATCGTTGGAGAATCCTCGCACATCTGAGGGTCTGACCCTGCCTATCCT